GGTACTGACACTGTCACCTAAAATACGCCGAAATCAATTTATACTAGCTGCTAACAGAACTTTATTAACCACTAATATAAAACTGCATACCATTGGCACCAGCCTAGTTTGTTAGATGGTAAAATATTTATTTTTTATTTTGCTGCAGTTAAAATAAAATAAATTTCTGATGTTAAAAAACTTTTTCTCCCACAAAAAAATTATTTATGAAAGTTGTAGCAAGGATTTTTATTACTCTTAAAAAGTAACTTCTAGTAAAAAAATATGTTTTTATATCAAAAAGAAACTTTAATGAGTCTATAATCTTTTTATTGCTTTTAGTAAAGAACCTATTAATTTAGAAGCTTCTACATACAGAATGTTTAATTGATAATGCGCCTAGAGTAGTCATATAATGTTCAGATCAAAATGTGAGAATTATACGCAATATTCCTTAGTAGAGTATTGCCGTAGACAAAGATACAGGGTGTCAAAGTTGATTTATTTTCGAATTTAATTTTAAAATGCCAAAATACAAAAAAAGATTTCAACTTTGACATTTTACTAAAATATATTTGGTTCAATCATATTTTGGTCCAAACAGTCTGTGGCCCATTACTAACCTTAGGAGTTTCTATAAAAACAGCAGTTATTGGAAAAACTAAGTTATTTTTTTAAATTTATTTTTAGTACATTTATAATATAAAAAAACTTATTTTCATTATTAGAAAATAAAAATCATATTAACAATAAAAATAAGGAAATTAACATTTTGTTTCTTAAAAGATTTTCTCTTATTTAAAAAAGTTTATTTGCAAAAAACAGTTATTTATTGTGACGCGGAGCCGTCTCTGTACTTTGTTTACACCTTGCCCTCTGTATGAAGTCTAGCGCTGGCCATACAGAGACAAACGCACTGCTTCGAGAAGCTGGCGGAGTGAACCCTTTGCTGCGTATGAGTCATAGAGAGGCAGTTATCGATCGTTCTGGAAAGCCGAGAGTATTTAGGTACAGAGCTGGCTTTATATAAATAGCGCGAGTTTGTCGACGGACAACAAGATTCAATTTAAGTGTTGGACAGAAAAGATAAATTGTAATAAATAAATTAAAATTGTGAGTTATAATAGTGAATAAGTATTATATAAATTAATTAGTATGTTATAAATAAATTATTAATAAAGTGATTTAAATAAATAAAGTATAAATAAATTAAACAAACGTTAAGTAAGTAAAAACATTTATTTTAAATATGGTTCAAAGGTATGTAAAAACATCGTACTTTACCAAATTGCACCTGTGCCAATCTCTATCCTGAGCAAAGTAGTTAAAAAAAAATTTTTATTCAAAAAATCACATAAGACATGACAGCGACAATTGTGTTTTCCCTGAAAATTACAATCCTAATTCATAGTGAACCTAGCTTTTAAACCTGAATTATTAATATTTTTACCTACCTTTTAAACCATGTGTATGTGTGAAAGGAAGAAGGATAGCATTGCATAAACCATTTGCAGAGATACAGTTCATCAAATTTCTAGAGGTGTTCGACGCCCAGACAGAGAACGCGCTACGTGTGACTAAGATAGCTATTGTACAGTCTGCTAAACAAGTTATTTTAAATAGTTTTTAATATTTTTAGGTAATTAAATTTTAAAAGTGTGGAATAGTTTAAATTGGTCTGATTGGACTTTCTTAGAACGTTTTTAAAAGCAGCTAAAGATAGTATGTAGAATTGAAAATAATTATTATGCCATAAAAGGTGTTTTGGAATTCCTTCAACCTTTTGAAATTGAGTCAGAAAATATAAATTTTATAGGATAGCGGAAAATACCTATAATTTGTTTGTAGGCCTTTGTAAATCGTGGAAATAGTTTATATTTTATTTCTACCTTATTAAGGAAAATGGTACCTATTATTAATAACGGTTGTTTCTGAAACATTACTAAAATTTTCGAAATTTTGTTTTTCTACAAAATAATAAACTATACTATTTAGAAAAAAATTTATTTCTCTTATAATTTTATAAAAAATAACAGGGGAATATTTACATTTCTTGATCTATTAAACAAAACGATAAATTATCTCGACGAATGACACCATGTTCTAGTACATTTTTGTTGGTGGTTTCATGGGTTTCATATCAATTTTTTGTAATTGTAGTTTACACGTACATATACCTCTTAACACTTGTTTGCTTTATTAAAAAAGTGTGTTGTTGTGATTTACGTCGAAATAAGTCAAAAACAACTTGAAACCCCATATAAAATCAAAAAGGAGAAACGGAAAAAAATTGAGCCTGTAAATGAACACAACTCAGAAACAAAAATAGCTATCTAATAATAAAAAAATAAAATTTGATTCTTGTGCATCTTCGTTGTAAAAATAGATAATACTTTTTTGAACTTAGGTACAGATATAATTTTAATGGTCTTCCGAAAAACTTTCTTCAGTTTCCATATCAGATTCAAAATCAGTCTCACTGTCACTGTTTAAGTTAATTATAAATCTATCAGTTGCCTCATCCAAAGTAACTTCTCTGTCATAAAATTTAGATTCCCACATTTTAGCATTATTACAACGAGATTGCCACTCCTCTTTAGAAAACGTATCAAAAAAGTCTTCACACAACAGTTGTACGTCTTGCCTCTTAAATGTAGTGTTGTTACTAGCTACATATTGTTTCAATGATGCCTACACTAATTCGATCGGATTAAGATCGGGATGATACGGTGGTAAACGCAAACAACTAAAACCATGTTCATTTATCATTTCTTCAATTGCATACCTCTTAAATCGTGACTTATGCAATAGCACTAAACTGTATAATTGCGTTTTGAGCATATCCTCTTCGTAAGCAATATTATGATTCCTTAACCAATCCTGCATGTCAGCTTTTTTAGAAGTTGACGTTGGTGCTTTATTTACCTGGACATTATGGTAAGGAGCATTATCAACAATAATGACGCTTCTTGGAGGGAGGTTCGGAAACAGCTTTTCTTTCAACCATTTAGAAAAATTATTAAAATTCGTTTCATCGTGGTAGTCTCCACTTTTGGTTCCAGATTTGAAAATTAACCGGGCATTCGGAATAAAGCCCATTTCACCTCCTGCATGGACAATAATTAGTCTATCACCTTTATTAATTGGTTTCTTTAATCCCTCATTTGAATTATCACTCCAAGCTTTCTGGTGTGTGTGGGAGGCATGAATGTATGTTTCATCTAAGTAGACAATTGGACGGCCCTCTGCTCGATAACTTTTTAAACGAATCAGATAGTCTAAACGTAGCTTTTGAATATCAAACTTTTCCATTAATATTTTTCTGTTTGTTTTTGTTTTCCGCCAACGAAATCCTAGCGACTTTATTATTTTTCTTAAACTTTCATAGCTTCCTTTGTACCCTGTAGCTTCTCTAAATTCAGTCAGAATTGTTTTTAATGTTGGAACAATATTTTCCGAGATTAACATGAACAGAATAATTCTTTTTAAAATACCTTTGTCAGCTTCATCTATATCATTAACTGTTTTTGGTTTTTTAATGGTTTTTATTGGTGATGAAAACTCCGATATCTCACGGTTATCGATTCTTTTTTTCTCTCCAGAAATGCGGACGACAGTGTTTTTAGATACTCCTGTGGCTGCAGCAACACGATCATTTACATTTTTAAATGGTATTGAAGGTGAATTAAAGTTTCCTTCTCTTCTCATAAACTCTATAACATTGGCTATTATTTCGCGAGATTAACTGTTAATCACGCGGCCTCTTAATTTGCTATTAAACTCCATACTTAGGTTCTATTAAACTGTAATGAGCAAAAAACACAAACGAAAATAAAAGAAATGTTTTAGCGAAATGTACATCTGACATTTACGTCTGAATAAAATAGTGAAATACTTGATGCGCAGAGTGTACTTTCATTGCGTAAATCCGTCGGCCCCGCCAACCGATGCCTCTCAGTAGTGCTTTCTCTGTCTAGCCGTCGAAAGCCTCTAGAAATTTGATGAACTGTAGTCAATAATAATTATAAACTCTTGTTAGACAATTCTTTTAAACCATAATTATAGTAGTTTTTTTTGTCGTTTCTATGGCAACCTGTAAAAATGAATCACAACAATAGGCATACAAATAAATTTTTAAATCAGCAAAAATTGATTCATATTTTTAATGATTTTTACCTATTAATCGTGGATAGATGTTTTTGTGTCATGTTAAGAGGAAGAAAATGTTTCCCTTTAACGATATACTTAATTTCTGGAAATCTTTAAGGGCAAACAAAATTAGCGCTGTCATGCTTTATGTGATTTTTTTAATATAATATATTTTTTTTAAGCCCCTGCTCAGGATAGGGATAGGCACAGGTACCATTTAGTAAAGTACAATGTTTTTACATGCTTTTGAGGTATATTTCATTTCATTATCAGATGACGGTAAAAATGTGCAGTGGGCTCTTGGGCTATAATAAAAATATTCTTTTCTACCATAAAAATAATACGTTTGAAAAATAATTTAAGATATCTTTGAAAGTAGATGTTTAACCTTTATTAAAGTTTTATTAGTATGCGAAGGATATTTTTTTCAGTTAATGGTTTAATTCTCTCGGCGTATATTTTTGTATTTCTTAGTAATTTGTTCAAGTTATTTACATTCATAAAAATTTTATTGGTCGGTGGCCTACTCGGTAAATACACTAAAAATGTCCCAAGTCAGTCCCGAATTTGAAACACTCCGATATTATGTGTAACAATTCGGCCCAAAAAGTACACATCTGGGTGAGATTTAAAATATTATATGGATCAGCGCTTTCTTAAAAGCAAACCTCTCAAATCGCAATTTTATCGCGATTTTCCTTCCGAAAAGGCCATTCAATCTGGAAAAAATCATCCACATATCACTTGGAAAAGCCTCCCCCAGGAAGTAATGAAATTCAAACTTCCTTCATATATCTCTGAAACACGAAACGACGCGATGTCGAGAGCAAAAGCAAGAGCAGCAAAACCGAAATACCAGAGTTATAACTTACCCGGCAATCCCTCCGGATTCCATGTGGTTAGCCAAGGTAACGTCGTCGCTCCAGACGTCGAACTGCCACTTCCTGAGGCCCAGGACGCCGCATAACACGTTCCCAGTGTGGATTCCTATTCGCATGTCGACGTTGAATCCCGTCGCTTCCCGGACGAATCTGAAATTCAAAAAAGTACGTAAATGTGGTCGAATGACGGCTTGTCAAATTGCTTTTAAATAAGGCAACAACATTTTATAAAGTCAAGAAGTTTGTTCCAACATCTTGGAATCGTATTATAGAGTTGCGAGGGTAAACCACTTCCGAAATACAGGTATGGTTCACTCGAAATCACTACAAATTCTTTCGAAATTTCTGAAATCATCACCTAAAACATTTCGAAATCAATTTGTCGCTCAGAACTATAAACGCAGGAACTTGTAGATCGAAACACAAGAGAAGAGACCTAACCAAAAAAAGGTCAACCAAACAAGAAGTGAAGAGGTTTTTTCGAAAAAAAGTCTTTTGAAGATATAGGGAAATCATAAGAAATGTTATGCAATGATTTCACCGATATCACCGAAATCCTATAAAACTAAGGGAGATTTAGGCAAAATCACCGAAATCATGCGAGTTTTAGGTGATTTCCGAAATACAGGTACGTTTTGACCTTAGTGGTTTACCCCTCGAATCAAGATCCATTACAAAAAAAAATCCGAGAAAAAGGTAAGATTGTATGACATATTTAAAATGAGACACAAGATTGTAAAATAAACACTAAATAATCTAGTTACAATAAGTAAATAGCAAGGTTAACCAAACCTAAGAGCCCCGCATACCACAAATATTTCGTTTTTTGGCTGACCGTCCATTTTTTTTAAATATATTTTGTTTGTTTTCATTGATCGATTGGTAATTTTTTATAAAAGTATCGCAGATTTTTAGATAAAAAAAAAAAATTTATTGAAACATACAATTAACCACCGTAAACCGGGGTTAATTTGGCACTTTGGCCTTCTTTGGCAGTTTCGTCATATATGTAAAAAAAATATTTTTTATATATTGTTTGCGGTTTTTTCAGTTGTTTTCTTTTGTTACAGGTATAAAGTGACCAATCATGCCTAGAAACTATCAGAAAAAAGTGGGGGCTGTGCCAACAGAAACTTTACCGAAGCTGACCTTGAAAAAGCGTTGGCTGCCATTAGAAATGGCATGAGTCAGGCAGCGGCTAGTAAACGGTTTAAAATTTCTCGGGGGACCCTTCAAAATAAATTGAAGGGCAAGCATATGCGCCCTCCAGGTCATCCGACGGTATTTATACCTGTGGAAGAGTAATTACTGACAAAGACATTAGTTTTGTATTCGTGAATTAATGCACAAATACTTAGAAAGGAGAGGGAGTAACGTTAAGGAGTTTAAAGACAAAGTTTCTGAACAAGATTTTCTTGAAAACTTCATAATCTGGAGTTTCCGTTTGGATGCAAACATAAAGCAAACACGTGCGGCGGTAGGGCCGAATCAAATTGGTGAATTTTTTGATAACATTAAAGATGTTTTGCAAGATATTGACCCCTCTTCGGTTTTTAATTACGATGAAACTAATGTCCAAGATGACTCTGGAGCCAAAAAGGTCATTGTTCCAAGAGGAACCAAACGCATTGAGAGAGTTCAACAGCATTCCAAGGCCTCGATCAGTATAATGGTGTGTAGAAACGCTGCAGGAGATTTATTACCTCCTATGGTGGTGTATACGAAGGTTGGACAGAAGGTGGTCCTCCTGGAACCAATTTGAAAAGTGGTTTTTCGAAAGTGTATTGCCCAAAATTAAAGAAATGAATATTCTGGAAAAAAATTGTTGCTGGGGACAATTTAGCCTCTCATTTTTTACCCACTGTCATTGAAGCTTGTGAGGAGAACAATATATACATGACAGCGTTGCCTTCCAACAGCAACCATTATATGTAGCAGTGTTTGCCCAGTTTAAAAAAAAGTGGTGTCTAGACAAATGGCGCAGGGAAAACAAATGAACTTCCTCCATTCTAAAAGAATACTTTCCTGTCCTCCTAAATTGGTTGTGGGTTGCAGTCGCTGAAAACGTGTCCAATAATTTAAAATCTGGATTTAGGGCCACAGGGCTATGTCCTTTTAAACCGCAAGCAGTTCTGAAAAGAATTTTAGACATGCAAATACAAGGCGATGACGAAAATGTCCAAGCTGCTATTCTAAATGACAGTTTAATTGATCTGCGCGGTTCAAATACGTGGCAAGAAAATACAGCACGGTGAACAACTTAAGATAGTTGCTCCTCAATCAGATGAACCAGTCTCTGGCCCTTCGGGGACCCAGAAAAACATTTCAAACATTAGCGACGATGATAGTGACGACAAACTACTTACGAATTTAGTTGCAGTTTCTACAAAAAAAGCAATGAGAAAGCAAGCAAAAAGGGCTGTTAAAAGTACAGACGACGTCTGCGCAGCCTGTTTCAGAAAGTGGGAGAATTATACAGGGCCTGATTGGATTTGTTGCAAGAAATGTAAACAATGGAATTGTGGCTTTTGCAATGAGGCGAGTACGGACCCATTTTATGGATGTGCCCTCTGTACAAACAAAGATTTTCACAGTGATGACTCTTTAAAAGATGCGGATTTTTCTTTGATGATGTATTGAATATTTAGTTTTTTATGTTCCTTATTAAAATTCTTAAGAATTTATGTCAATTTTCATTTATAAATAATTTTTTAGTTAGTTCTTTTAGAATGGTTGGATAAATGAATGATTTTTTAAAAAGAAATGCATTCTAACTTCAATAACTTCGGAACTATGAAAGATATTTGGACCAAACTCTAAGCTGCCTTTTTGTGCCTCCGTCTTTTACTATATTTGGTGCCAAAGAAGGCTTTATACAGCCTCTACATTGGCGCAAAAAAGATTTGCATATGCTGCCAAAGTAGCTCCAAAAATCTGCCTATTTTGGCACCCCACAAACAATTTTTTTTCCAACATGCGGTCCATGAAAACGAACCATATTTCAGTGATCTATTGTAAATTGAGCACAAGGCACGATTCAATTTTAAGAAGTTTGATTTTCCAATCGGTTTCTGACTTAGAGTTCCAAAATAGATTAAAACCTGCCAAAGTAACCTCGTTTTACGGTATCTCGTAATCTTCATTAATATGGATAATGAGCCATCATAAAATATTAGGTACTTATTCCCTAATTTTATTCATAATCGAACAAGTTTTTTGACGTCTACTTTATTTTTAAACTTCGAAGGATGTAGTTTCACCAGTTAATTCTAGATCAAATTCATTTTTTCATTTTATTTTTATTATTTTTGATTTTGTTAATAGTATTAATTTTTTTAAGAATTACCCATTTTAAAAAGTAGCATTAGTAGCATGACTTTTTGAAAAGTGAATAAAGGACATTTTAGAAATATCTTGAATGCGTACGGGAAACCGCTAAAAATGCACCACAGGTAGTTTCTTTTTCACTTTTTAGGTATAATTAGGTAGTTACACCATACCTGAATAAATAAACATAATTAAAAAAAAATTTTAAGCTTATGTGTCCACTAAATGAGGCCGGGCGGCGCGTCCGACGCATAGACTAAAGACTACTTATGAAGTGGTTCGATTTGTGCGACGCCAGTAGCGGACGCACAAGTGGAACAACCATACCTCTACAGCAGTGGTTCTTAAACTTTTTTGGTGACGGAACCTTTTTGAAAAGCGAAATATTTGACGGAGCCCTAAACACATTTCTATCGGCTTCCTCTTAGTGACTCCCAAGTCCCTCCTTTTTGTAGCAATAGTACTGCTATTATTTTCTTCGCGGAGCCCCCACAAAGGCTTTGCGGAGCCCCAAGGCTCCGCGGACCACACTTTGAGTAACGCTGCTTTAGAGAAAAACGCACACATGTAGAAAATGCGTTCCGAAAAACAGCACTGGGAGTGGGTTTATGTTTCTGGGAGCGCGCGGGACGCTCCAGTGCTGCTGCTGCTGGGAATAAGTTATTCTCTAAAAAAAGTGGTGCTTATTGTAATTTAGTTTTGAAAAAAGGATATTTAGAGGTTTAAAAAGTCACAAGGACAATTTGTTTGAAAAAAGGACTGTCCTTTTCAAAAAATGACAGATGGTAACTCTAAGCACTAGCCATCTCTTTTAATCAAAATTACAAATACAATAAAAAAAAACGCATATTTTTTTATAAAATTAAACCTTCCAGTCCAGGATACTTGAATCTCTATTAGGACTGGTTAATCCCCCATCTAGTATGTCATTGTCGGACCAGATATTTATAAATTCTTGTGTTGTTTATACGTTTGTATATGGTTTTAAGTATTTTTTGAATTGTTTTCGTAGCATCTTTAATTGATTGGACTTTTTAAAAGAGTTTTTGTAAACAGTATTTTGGTAAATCAACTTAGTTTTATTTGAGGTAAGTTCTACAGTGGCAAAAATGATTGTTTTTGACTAAGTGATATTTTTTAGGATTTAAATATGCCAGATAGTCGGTATTTAGTAATTGTAATAACAGCCATGTGAAAACAAAATTAGATATAATTTATCATTGGGGAAAGATTTCGTTTCACACAAAATAAAACAAGAGTGGATTCTGAGGTGCCGTAGAGCCGATAAATAGAATCTCCCACAAGCCAGATTTGTTCTGCCCATTTTATCGGCAATGATTATGAAAGTGATCTTCATAATGGATTATTGGGTAATTGAGTTTGCCATTGAGGAGGCGATTAAAGAAAACGGCAGTCCCTACTTTACTTCTTAGGAATAATGAAAGTGAAGATAACACTTTAAAAAAGAAATAACGGGAAAGTCGAATCTTGAAAAGAGAACAAAAAATAGAGTAGGTGATTGTTTAAAAGAATAAACTAAAATTTCCACACATTTAGAGCACAATTGAAAGAGAAAACAGAGTCGTTGAAAGTGTTAACTGGGAGCAACAATATAATAAGCTTAAATATGATTTTAAAAATATAAAAAAAGGCCAATATGTTTACACAAGTAAAGCAATTAAATTTTTATAAAAACAGAGACTATTAAAAAAACTAAAGGCGAAGAAAAATGATTTTACTAAAAACAAAATTGATTTATAGATGAAAAAAAAGAAAAGTTGACTGGAAATTTGAAGAATCTGCATCTGCATCTGCATCTGCACCTTGCGATATTAGAGCAAAAAGGCATATCTGTATGTAAAAGAGCAATTATATTTTCCACTTCCTGGTTTGTCTTCTCTAAGACGATGGGCAAATAAATTCTACAAATGGAATTTTAAAGAGTCTATTAAAATTTATGCAGTTGGATGGAGAATCAATAATAGGCGACTTTGACAAGCAATCTGTATTATGTGCACTATTTATGTACTAGTTTGTATTATTTTGAAGTAATTGTGTAGGATTGCCAACAATCCAGCGATACTGAACCGGAAAAAAAAATTTTCTTGAGGAATACGCAAACGACCTTTTTGCTTTTAGGTTGTCAACCTAATTTTAATACCTGCGATCTATGTGATCCTTTTATTTTAGCTCATAAACCTAATTTTAATGTGTGTTCTTTTTAATATATACGACTGTTTGTGTACTATTTCTGTACTATTTGGGGCACAAAGTGTACATTTTATCCCTACACTACACTAAAATAGTAATCTTTCAATGATTGGTGCAGTAAAAAATGGAGTAATTAATATTCGATATTATGAAGATAGTACATATAAATTTTCAATTATGTTTAAGTTTTGTTTGTATATTTGTTTTTGTAATAAAATATTTTGATTTGTCCTGTACATGAAGGATCAATAAAAAATTATTATGTTTTCAATTTGTGATACTTGTATTTCGTGTAGGTATATATTGGAAATTTAATAAAGATATGATTGATTATTTTTAAATATGCGTGCTATCAGAAATGTCCTGAAAAATATTGTGTCAACACCTCCTACAATTGCTTGTAACGTGGTCGTTGAAAGAAAATATACCATATGTACCTATTGTTGTCACGTGAATTCCAATAATAAAGATTTTTCTTATCTTGTCTCATTTATTTTGGAACAGAAACGGTTTATATTTAAAAAAGCGTTCACATGTTCATTTTAAAATTCGCGCAATCGAAGGTCCGGAGACTACGTCATTTTTCCGAATAATTGGAACGATACACGATGCATTGAACAATCCTGTAGAGTCAAGTATCCTTGCTTCCAGTGTCCAAAAACTTTGTCCGTAATATGGAGCCCCGATAATTTCGTAGCGGAATATTTCCGTACTACGGTAGAAAACCAGAATACTTAAGATATACTGCAATAGTAGTTTATGCAATAAGAGTGGACATGATGGCCATATTGCACGAAGACGAAATTTGAGGAAGACTCAGAAGGCTGAGTGCTCAATCATCTGAGAGCGATACAGACAATCCATTCGAATTGTAGAGTATATTTTTTCTACGACCGACTAACGAAAATCTACAAATTTTAAAAATTATATTAGGTTATTAAAATAAAATAACTAATTTACAAATAATTAACGACTTTTACTAATTTATAATTTAAAATAAAAACAGATTTAATTTAATTGGTGTCCAATCCTAGATTTGAAGCCGCATGACAGCTAAATACGAAACTTCAGCTCTACCGACATACCTAACATATTAGTTTCAGTACTCATAAGTTAAATTGATTTCTTATATTTTTATTAAAATTTACAGTTTTACGAAATGGCATACATTTCCGTTTTGTTTTACAATAATTAAACGGTTTAAATCAAATAAACGTTACAATGGGTATCAAGCTTGGGATACTATAGATAAAAAGTGGACAAAAATGGCTAAAAACTTGTGTCATTTAAAAGTGGCTGAGTTGCGTCGAGAATTAGAATAGCCTGAATTGAATATGAGAGGAAAGAAAGCAGAGCTGGCATTGCTGGCAGAGTGGCTTAAAGGAGCAATAAAAATTGAAGGTTTGGATCCGGAAACGTATCTATTTTTGAATGACGCGTCTTTCATAATTTCTTCAATTTCTTTCGATATGGAAAGTAAGATCTCTTCCTTAAAAGATGAAATTTGTTCAGACTAAAGGTAAAATGTCTTCTACAAAAAATGAAATTTCTTCTGCTTCTTTTATAAAAAGTGATATTCCTTCTTTAGAAAATAAAGTTTCGTCTGAGAAAAGGTGTTTTCTCAAATGTCTATATAAAGTCTTTTATAAGAAATTAATGGTTTCTAAAAAATTAAATTTCTACTGTTGTGGAAAATAAGATGACTTCCGTTAAGGAGAAAATAAGTTCTGTTGAGGAAAACATATTGCCTTGCGTTGAGGAGAAAATAAAAGAGATGGAAAATAATAGAGGAGAAATAGAGAAAACAGAAAAGGCAAAGGACGGTAAAATAAAGTGACATGAGGTGGAGTTGAATCTGAAATTGGAAGAAATTGTAAACTGCCAGTGTTAAAGCCTTAATATGCGATATGGCTACGAACACTGCGAACATTTGTGTCAATCACAGCTAAAGAATCGCAAACTGAAACGTGACGAGACTCTTTAAGAGTGCGAAGTAGATATTATCAGGTTGGTACACTTTGCATACTCATCATCTCCAGAACATATGATGAAATATCTAGCTGTTCAAACATTTATTAATAGACTCCGTTACCATGAAATGCAGAAAAAACTCCGTCTAGCCCGTCACAAAACCTTGGTCGAAATCTTGTTCGCTGCTCTAGAATATAAAGCAGCTATGCAGGCTTCTGGTGGAGTCAATAGGACGTAAGAGCAAACTCCTACTGACGACTAAAATGAGGCTCATTCAGGCAGTAATAATTCCCACACTGATGTACGCCTCCACGGTGTGGGGATTCACCTGTAGGGCAAACAGGAAGAAGATTCAAAGTCCGTTGAACATCAGCCTGAAATGGGCCTCAAACGCATACAGATACACGCGACACGATGTGATCATGAGGGATCTATAATCCAAGTATCCTAGACCTCATACACAAGAAGGCCACTGGCACCTTCGAGAAATTTAGAACTCACCCAAACATGGAACTACGCGAATTAGCAGAATACGAGAGAGCTGACTATAGGAGACACGCCAGGCGATGCAAAGTGCTGGACTATGGCGGAGAGTCACCGAACCACGGAAGGTGCAAAAATTAAAGACGCTCAATAGATTATAAGATTCTCGTTCAGCATTCTCTTTCAGAATACAAAACGTGAATCAGACAAGGACTGAGCAACTGACAACAACCCACCTGGGGGAGAAGGTTCTCCTAGTGGCCAACGGAGACAAATAAACGGACGACGAAACAGGGAAATGTCCTCATCTAAATCTAACTCTAAATGACGATAATATTTCATCCTTCACAGCCCTTTAAGAAGGAGTGGCTTACTATTCAAATGATTTGAATTTGAGGCTCCCTGTAGCGAAGATATCAGGGGGTTACGGTGGGGTCAGGCAGGTTTAGATCCAGTAAAACAGGATGGGAACCTTCCCGACTTGGGCTCTAATAATGTGTGTGTGTCTGGTGGAGTCAGTAAAGTGAGGACTGTAAAAGAGGAAGAAGAGGAATATAAACTCCACCAATTGGTTAACATAATGAAGAGCCTTAGCGACCAGCAGACGAAGACTATCAGTCTATCAAGTGCCCGTAGCTGTACAGGAAGGAACGGTGGTTCCTGATAGAAGTGATACATTTGTGATAAATTTAATGTATTTCCAATAATTCTCTTGACTACCTTTTCAGTTGATGTTTGGTATATAAATTGTGTTACAACTTAGCAGGTACATTCAACTATTGTCAACTAATTTGAGAAACTACAAAATCATTTATTTTTTAAACAAATTGGCCAGGGTCAATGTTTTTACATGCATTTTGTTCGCGTTAATTTTCATGTAGGTAATGTATTCTTTTTTGTACAGGGTGTCCCAATGAAAAGTAACCCATTTCCAGAGCTTATACACCTAATCGTAGAAACGTGCGGTTTTTGCTGATATGTGTCAGTTTGCTATAAGTTTTGCTTCAATGACACAGAAATTATGTATTACCTATACAGGGTGTTTTTTTAAAAATCTCCTCTTTTAAATTCACCGTAAAAAGTTATAAGCTCTGGAAAGGGGCTACTTTTCATTAGGACACCCTGTATTAAAAATGTTACAATCAAGATGAAATTTATATATTGTTGTTACATACTATTTTTTCTAACCGTTCAAAATAGCTTTTTTCTCTAATATTTAAAAACAAGTCTCACCTGATTGCTTCTATCATCTGTAGACCCATATTGACACAGTTGTATGCGTGGTTTGGACGTGATACTGGCAAGCCTGATACGCAGTAGTAACAGTCGCCCAGAATTTTGATTCTCATGCACTGATTATCCTGAAAAAAAAAAAAGATAAAAAATCACTTAATTAAACATTCTCGAACTTTTTTAAAATTAATTCAATTAATTGTCGTTTGTATAACTATAAACTGTGATTCCTTAAAATTTTTGCAACGACCTTGATAGCACCTTTTTTTAACTATCTAAAATTTTTTGAACAAAATTAAATAGTTTAGTAAGAGCTGGTCTGTTTAACTTCCATCTAAAAATACATCAAATCGTTGCAAATCAATTAATCTGAGCCACAGTGTATAAACAAAACTATCATAAATAAATGAATGCAAATTATTTATCTGGTTCCTTATATTTGTAAAACTTATTTTTATATATTTGCAATTATTGTCTTTAATTTTTTGTCTCTCTGAATAACTTTAGGGCTAATAATAACAACAAGAAGAAACACAACAATAAGTGTAGTTAAAATCGACAAAGTCTGTTCAAAAAGATATTGGAAACGGGAAGAAAAGCAGTACCTACCAAGAAAGAATTGAAAAGATAGAATCATAGAAAATGTCAAGAAGAAAAGTAAAGGGTATTAAATAAATAATGATAACATTGTTTGTTATAATATTGCACTGAACACAACCTATTTTCTTTTATTATAACTAAAAATGTTAATGTTGTTCTTGGGGGCGCTAAAATATGAATTAATAAAGATAAATCTGAGACTGGCTAATATGATAGTTTCTATATAATCCATAAAAGTAGTAAAAAAATGTAGAAAATGGACAAAGAATAAGTAGAGGATAAAGAATAAGTAGATGGTGTCGAACCAAAAGGCGATGAGATTAATCTACTCATTTTCAACGTTATGTAGGTAATCAGAAATTCCACTCATAGGAAGGCTATGAAGGATAAAAGAAGAAGAAACAAGAAGTATCTGCTTATTATTTTTCTTTCTATTCCCATAATTTTTTCTCTAAATTCTAAATGTCTTAAAGCCTATTTCTTCATTCATATCAACAGAAAAATGTATCAATTTTTTTAAGTCAAAAATATTAGAAATAGAAAATTTTCGCAGCTAACTTCACAACCACCCTCTCAGTTCCAATAGATAAACCTATTTTGTACCGTGAAATTAATATTTTACCTCTTACGTCTGACATTTTAATAACCATTTTAGAAATTAAGTGCTCTATTTCAAATTCTTCCAAACTTTCCCACAAAATTTATAATGGAAGTTAATACAAATATTTCCTAAGTTTCGCTCGAGAGACCACGCCGTCATCTCGTCGATAAAACGCCTGGTGTGTCTCTCTCTTTGCGGTTAATCACTCGGAAATTTTGTGTTCAATTCATTTACGCGACGATAATTTTAAATCAATTCCCTGAAAATGAGAGAGTGAGAGAGATATATCTATAGCCACTTTGTGTGTATCGCCACCACATGTACAACAAATTGTTAAAACAAGGCCGATATCAAAATCAAAATGATCCTACTGGGAAATTGGGCATAAATATTGGTGTAGACACAAAAAAAACACTCATTTAAGTATAAAGGTTAATAAGTGGAGTAATGAATCGGGTAAAAGAGAGAATAAATTGGGAGGGTGAGAAATCCCATTGCCTTGAAGTCGATTGACTTGAGGTTAAATTGAAACCTAGTTGGGAGTTTTAATGGTTTGGAGGATAAAATGTTTCGATTACCTACGCACAAATTGGACGGCAAAATAATTTGTATTTACCGATATATACGAGGGTTAGGGATACAAAATCAATGATCTCTTTTTTTTGAGGTGGACAATTTTCCACTAAATTAAGATTTGCGAGAAAGTTAAATTAAATATATATATATTGTATGAAAAATTAACATAGATAAAAAACTAGATTAAATTTAAGACTTTAGTAATAAACATGGCGATTCATTTAGGCCCATCAGGTCTGTTTATGGTTTAACCAATTATAAAGCAGGCAATCATATTTCCAGCTACCGATAACACGAAAATTCAAGAATATTTAGAGCTACTTTTGTGCCGAAAAAATCATATTTATCTCACGACTATCCAATAATAGAACACGTATGCAAAGATATTGTCGAAAATTGTATCAATGATGAAGGGTGCGTTATTATAATAACTAACAAAACAATTTAAGCTCGCAAATTGTCAACTCCATCAACATTACTTGTTTTATTTAATGTATTCCCAACTATACCTCACACTGTATTGACCGAAGAATTATAAAAAATGGATTTAAAATTGCATTTTTCAATTACATTTGTAAAAATTGGTGCATGTATAACTGTGATTGTAATTAGTATAATCACCAGTCACTTGAGTAATATGAAAATTAAAAGAGCGTGGTTCTACTTCAGCCATTTATTAATAACTGTCATTCTACAATTCCGTTCACTGTCAACTGTCCGCTCGTAATCGGTGTTGCCTGAGTAGGCGCCACTGGCCTTTTACTACTTAACAGTGCATTTCTGTCTGAATTTAACTACATTTTCCAGTTTCAAACGAAAAATTTTCATATATCCTCAAGAGAAGCAACCCTAGAATCATTCGTGTATTCATGTATTCTTATCCCAAGACTCTCTAATCCACTACTCAGGCAAATAAGAGTGCTACGCAGCAGCTAACTGCAAAAGCAACTAACTGCAAAAAGCTCTGCAATCACGATCACCTGGCAACTCAAACTATTTACCCAACAAGTAACTCATTGCCGTATATCAATTACCATTACAAACAATATTAACAGTAATAAATTTAGCGCAAACAGGGTCGCCACTTGGCAATTCTAACCCAACCAAAATATCCAACACTCACCATTTCTTCGCTTCCCTTCTCACCCACCTTCACATCGAAAATAAGCACCTCTAATCTTGCATCAGCAAGCCACGATGAAAACAGATATAAACATATACAACAAAAAGATATTTCATGCAAACGTGCATTCGAGGAAATAGTTACTCCACCCCTGGACACATCAGATAATACACCAGTCGACCCTTTTTTCAAAAGAAATCAAAGAGTAATAAAGACACTCCTATCATAGACCTTATGGAACCACTTAGAACTTTAATTTTAAAATAGAGCCCGCCAATTAACTTCGAACAAGTCGACCTCTTTGACGAATCAACCTATCAGTATAGTATCAGACTACACCAAAGATCTTACTGCACTAAGATATATTAACAAAAGTCCATCCTTATGTTAAGCTTAAGCAATAAAACTAGACGTACAAAGCAAGGAATAAAACACTCAAGTACCTTCAGATGACTACGCCTGACCTGAAAAGCTCCGAAGAAGAAAGCGACTGTTCTCAAGAATCCTGTTTCTATTTTTATAGTCATAGTCCTAGTCAAAGTTTTAGTTCCCATCTACTCATTATTACAATGAAATTTTCGTCCATAGTGTCATGGAATATTAACGGTTTTTTCAACAATTTCAATAATCTTCCAATGTCCAATTATCAATCAGTTATTATATGCCTCCTGGAAGCCAATTTAAAAAATACTAACATTAAAGCATTAATCCTATTAAAGCTAGTGTAGCTATTTTCATAAAAAATACCCTTGATGCTAAAAACTTTCTGTTACAAAATAACCTTGAAGCTTGAAGCCATTACCAGATTGGATAATCAATCAAACCCTAATATTTGCAATATATACCTTTCATCGGGAATGGATCTTGATAAACAAGAGCTAATTGATCTATCAGAGCCTAAAATTATCCTTGGAGACTTTAATGGACACAACTTATTGTGGAGCTCCACTAGTATTAATCGTAAAAGTCAAATTTCTGAGAAGTAACAGATGATCTTAACCGTTTCATTCTAAGGGAGACGGGATACCTACTAGGTTTATTATACAGACTGGTAAATCATCTTGCATCGACCTTAAAATTAGCGACCCTTCATTGATATCATAATTCACGAGGGATAGATAACAGCGATCATTACCCTATTACTCTAACCAATAATAAAGGAAACCACATCAATTTTGTCTGAGCTGTTCAAACATTTATTGATAGACTCCGTGACCAGAGATAAGGTCTGTCCGTGACCATAAAATGCAGAAAACACTTCGCTAGCTAGCCCGTCACAAAACATTGGTCGATGTCTTGTCCGCTGCTCAAGAGTATGAAGCAGCTACGCAGGCTTCTGGTGGATACAGTAAAGTGAGGACTTCAAAAGAGGAAGAAGAGGAAGATATACCAAAGTGGAACATGAAAAAGCCCGACAAGAATTTATTTCACAATAAAAATGAAGAGAAGATGATTTGCAGCAAGTTATCAGCCGATACAGATGTCTCACTTAAGATCTTTAAAAATGTAGTCAAACAAGCGGCCGACATATCAATTATTGGTAAAACTTCATATTTCAACCCCTATATATAGTGAGTTTATATTCTATGAGGAGCAGGAGGACGGAACCTCCATTCTCTTTCTGACTGAATGTGTAGCACTCCAGAATCCAAGGGCACTATGCCTAGGAGTATATCAAATAGTACGTAGAAGAGGGAGATTCACCTAACTTTAAGCCACACCAAATCCTACAATTTCTTAAGAATATAGGATTGGAATGGTCGTTATGGGAATCGAAACACTTCCTTGCTGCATTAGCGATAGAAGGGGACATAATAGATCTTTTAGGTCGCAATGTATTCCATTCCCAACATAACATAATCTTTAAGAGATACAAACGCCACAAAACCGTGGAAAATAAAATATAATTCTCAAGACTACGTGTCATAGCTCAATACACCAAAAAATGGGTCAAACGAAGTTCGTGGACCGAGTATATATCAACTTTAAACTCAATGGCAGAAGTGTGGTAGAAATGTGTCAGAAGGTGCGAGGAATATCTAGTAAATAAGTACAATTTTTAATATAGTAGACGGAAACATTAACTGCCAATGCTGAAATAGTCTTGACATCAACGCAAAATTATCAAAATCTATATTGTTAAAATAGCTTTGATATTGAATGTAAGTAATAAAAATCAATGGTCAATACAAACTTTATTACAAATAGGACGAGAAGAAATAATTGAC